ACGATTCTACATTAGACTGAGACTTTGTGAACTCAAGTGTAGACAGATGCGTGAAAACACCGTCACCCAGTGTTCCGATTGGTAGATATGTTTGTTCTTCGGAAATAAGACAAAGCTGGGGGATCCGATGGAATGATTCCAGAGGTGTTTAAGGGTGGCGAAGACAGTTTACTGTCTGCGTTAACTAAGGTACTAGGTATCGTCTGGGAATCAGAGGAAGTCCCTTCAAAAGTATGCTAATATTTTGTGTTATCCTCTCACTTAAATCTTTAATGCATCGTTTCACATGGATAAAGTACCTGTTTCTTGGAAAGAAATAAAGGTGATGCCTGTATCAATGTCATCTTCTGGATCAGGTCTAAAGTTTAGGCCGATTGCCATCAAGTCTCAATTTTTGAAAACTATAGAGAAACTTCTTTTGCATGCTCTTAAACCTTCCTTGAAATCTTTCAGTGATCCAAAGTAGTTTGCTTACAAATGTAGTAGAAGTGTAACGACAGGAGACAAGGGTCAGGAAACAGATCGTTTATTGAGAAAATCAACAGATATTTATAGATTTTTATTTGCATTATTATTCGTTATTGTCAGCGGAGAAGCAACGTCTTTTGATTGGTTGTTTTCTTGTTGAAGCTTATTCTGTACTGCTTGTGACTGTTTCTCAGAAGGTTAAGCCATGTATCTGCGATCCCCCTTCGCTCACTTTAAGTCTGCTGTAACTGGTTCATGAGTTGCTCAAAGTTAAGCTTTATTACTGGTTTTTCTTATGACTCCTATTCGGAATGTAGCATTGACGTAAATTGTTGTCGACAATTTTGTCTTACAGACAGCCTTCACCACAGAAGTACTTTAGATGCTGTCGTTGTACTCCAGCACAATATTGTTTCAAATCTTGATGAATGTGCAAAGATTTTCGAGCCTCAGTTTTAGACTACACTACTGCTTTTGACTCTATTTCTTTTATTAAACAAGGTGATTTCAGCAAACACTGAGTTCTGGGTCACAAGGTAGCTGTCTTCTTATTTCATGGGGAGAAAACAACATACTGTTTTATTTAATGGAAAGCGTTCCACTTAGTTGCTGACGGAAACTGGTGTGCCTCAAGGCCCTGTACTCTATCCATTTCTAATTTTATTTCTTATGGCATAACCTTCCACACTCTTCCAAAGCTAACTTCGTTAAATATGCCGATGATTTTATCATTTCTGTCTCAGTAGTTTCTGCTTTGGATTGTTCTTAGCTGAAGTTAACAGATGGTTCCATATAAGTGTCATATTGTTGGTTTTAGTTTCAGATACGAACAAGACTTGTGTGGACTGATTTAGTCACATGACTCTTGTACTACTGACGGAAATGTGTGACAGGGAGTAAATCGAATATCTCCAAATTCGGCATCAGTTTCTCTTCGAATCCCTGTTGGTCGTCTCATATCCTGCTGATTTCTAATAAAAATTCTCGTTCAACTTATTACGCAAGGGAGTTGAGATTTTCTGCTAGCATAACTCAACGTTTTCTCACAACTGATTAATGCATTTCTTCTACCCACTCCCTTTTATTGTTCAGCATAAATTAATCGTTATCCATTGCCCTACTGACAATCTAAATTAAGTAGCATAGCTGTATTCAACAAATATTTGCCAGTTGTAAAAAAAATATGTTATGTCGTCTATTTGTGTGACAGATTTAGGACATTTTGATGACATACACTTACTCGTCTTGAATATTTACGTAAAAAGTACTGCAGCATAAAGAATGACAATTCTGACCGACACACATCAAAATATTTGTGATTAACGATCATAAATCAGAGGTAGGAAAATGAGGTAAGAAAAGAAGGTGGGGAGGAAGGGTGAGTGTTAAAATGTTATTAACTCAGATGAACCAAATTAAAATATAGCGATCCAGAAGTGCAAGTGCACCGATGACCTTGAACGCATGCTATTCACTGGATGACGAGACCCACTATTATTAAAGCGCCATTATGATGAATGCCCGTTCACGAAGTGAAATGCATATTTCATCCCGATCTTGTTTTTAAGTATTGTTTGGATAAAGTGTTGATAGCTTGTTAGAGTTACATCTAGGGTTGGGATTAAGATTTTTCATTTTTATATTCATTCTTCCGGTAAAGAGGTGTTGAAAAAAGCGAGAACAACAGCTGTTTGTGCATAATAATATGGTACCATCATTTAGTAGCTTAAAAATCCCCATTGAGTCATATGAAAAAGAGATGTTCAGCGAAGAGATTCCTTTCGGCGAATTTATTCACATAGCTGTACAATCGCATTTATATACAATTATTTGTGCGTGTGTAGTTTACCAACTACACCATGATCCACTTATTATCATTATTGTTTCCTTTAGTTCCTAGAGGAATATAGGGCTTCAGTTGCACATCTCCATTGCGTTCGTTTTTCTCCATCAACGTTTTCACCTCCATTTCTTCCTGCATATTTGTTGCAAAGTCGGTTCCTGCTGGGTTAGTTCGTTCAATGACAGAGATCCCTGTTGCTGATGTTTTCTGGCCGGCCATCTGATCTTGAGTATTGAGTGAGGACAGCTGTTGATGAAGGTTTGTAGTTTGTAGAAGAAAGTCACAACGAGCTTGGATTTTCAGACATACTCCTGCATCGGAGAGATGGTTCGATAAAGCGATCAATTTATAGAGGACAGGGTAATATTTGAATTTTCATAGCTTCTATGCACTATAGCTTAAGAGAGGCTTGGTGAAGCGTTCATTCAAGAGGATTCAGAGTATTTGTACGGCTTATGTTATAGAGAAATAAAATAAAATATTGATGGATAATCTTGTTAAAAACGGATATCCTTTAAAAAAATTTTAAACCAATGTAGAAGTCAGTTAGTTGTAAAACTTACGATCAGTCCCTATGTAAGATGTTTTTATTGTATTACCACACAATGGGGAAGTAGATAGTAGGATTTAAAGAAAGAGACTAAATTCGGTCATCCACAGGACCCGCTCTGAAGCCTAGCTTTTAATCATTCAAAAAGCCAAAAATATGCACTACTGTATATCTAAAAAGTGCAGAAGTCATTGTTTGACGTTCCACTAACTGACTGGTTTCAACGTAGAACCCTGCACCGATGTGCAGCAGTTCAAGTTGCTAAATTTCCTCATTGTAGCACACAAAGCAAGAGAAGAAATAAAAATAGAGATAGTAAACAGAGATATAGGGCAAAGAGAATAGTTATATATATATATATAATATAGAAGAACAATATAGCTTTATTGGGCAATACAACTCACAAGGAGTGGATGCGTCTGCGCCAGCAATCACTGAGAACGATTTTGAGCAATATCCCCAATTGTCTCCAGTCTTCATTGGTTCTTACCGTCCCGAGGACCCCAAACAGTCAGCCAGCCTACACCTTCATACGTGATTGGCTTGCTTAAACTAACTGTTGTGGATTTCATTGACTGATAACGTCATGGTTTGGTGTGACCAACACTACCTGTTTTCCAACCTGACCCTATATCAGCTAACATTGCCCGTTGTCGAGGAGGGAGATACCTAGGCATACGTGGCACCTGTACTAACCATCTTCGTCGATGTAGCCTCACAGCCTTGTCTATTGATTTCCCTTCCTTACAACTAGCACTCGACCGAAGCCTAACCTCAATATTGCTCACCCTATTATACCACTTAACACACATATGAGATAGAACGCAGACAGCTAACTAGCCAGGCTTCTCATGTCTTCCGCTTCCATAGACCATGTCTGACTGAAAGCCATAAAGAAGGACGGAGCAGACTGATGAGCAGTACACACGCCCTTTGGTCGATAGCAAGCCGGATATCACGTCACATTCCACACTATATAGTAATTTACGTGTGTATGTATGGGCATACACATACATAGAGAGGAGTAATGGCACTTTGCATGTGTAAGGATGGGAGATCATATTCTGAAGTGATTAGAAAAACAGATGAACTTTGAAAAATCGATAGACGCAGGTGCCAGACTACCACGACCCACTTTGTTTCTAGTTAAACACCTAATCGATATGAACTACAAGCCTCATGTTAAGAACAGCTTTTAAGGTTATTTTTAAAAAAGGGTAATGGACGCTTATTGAAATACACTGAAACGATAGCTCTTGGTAAACTTGTGCCAGATCCCCCCCCCCTTGTGTGTAGAAAAAAAATTTGTTATTACTGCTTAACCTACCAGATGTACTGTTAATCATTCTTAAATGCTTTTTGTCATTTTCTTGAAAATTTCAACTGTCCTTCACTTTTCATATAAATTGACTTGACAAATAAATATGTGGGGGGTTAGATTGTTGTTCGAAATGTAGATGGCGTAAATGCATCACACCGTATTTTTCAGATAATCTCCGTCTTCTAATAAATAACACATCGGCGACCACGCCTCATATGGTCCGGGGTTCGATCCCCGGACACAGACGTACTCCTTTACCTCACTAAGCCAGTAGTAAGACTGGTAAAGAGGGAAGGTTGGGATGGGCATGAAACTAGCAACCCCATCCCGTAAAAATGACGAAACACCCCTGCTATCGAAACTTCAAGCCTCTAGCTTGAAGCCACCTATGTCCCACTGGGGGGGAAAGTAAAGGAATTAAAAAATCTATAAAAGGAACTAACTGCTGTTTGAAATATTGAGGAATACGCGGAATTGAATTGGCAGAAGTTAGAATTCATGGGCTGGCCATTGGATTGGCGGGTCCCAGTGGCTTAACAGTCTACGAGCTAGCTTGCCACCTTGTCATCAGAAGGGGACCTGGGTTCAAACCCCAGTGAGGTGGGTGCGTACTGCTCTCTCTGATGAAGAGTCCCAAACTAGGCTGACGAAACAGCTGTCTGGCAGTAATCCCTGTGGCTGGCTATCCAATGGTTCTCTAACTGATGTCAGCTCATGATGAACTCCTCTCCAACCAACCAAAAAACAAAAAACGCAAGGTCAGTTTGGAAAAAAATAATTCTATTTTGCTTTCGCAAGTATTTGTCATCGAAAGAAATGCATAGAAATAGAGAATATATATAAAAATAGTAATAATAATAATCTCTGGTAAGCAGGGTAAAAAATCTCGGCGCAAAATTCGACAGATGACTAAGAGTTACCTACAAAAATCGATAATAATTACATCATCATTTTTTTCCACTTTGTTGACATAAATAAAGCGATAAAAGTTCAAGTTATCGAAAGAAATTGTCCAGTTTCGATTGTTTCGAATCTGTTAATGACGTCTTTGTTGAATGCCTTTTGCCAACTTTACGTCGTTTTTCAACAGACTATGTGGGGAACAAAATTTAGAGAAAAAAATTGAAGTTAAAAGGTGTGATACAACACCTGTCGAGGTTAAATAAAAAGAATTGAATTAGAGCAGATAAAAGCGGTTGAAATCAGATTTAAATAATTATATTAGGCAGATGACTAACTTTCAGACTCCATATTAGTTTGTTTATTAGATATATCACAAAGCGTAACAGCAGTATTATTTACTGGATATTGACGTTTCGAACGAAATTTATTACTGTTCATAATCATACCAATCAATTATAATCACACAACTTCGAAACTTGAGTTTCATAGTTCACTTTGTTCTCTCCTATTTGTCGTCGTAGGGGTAGTAGAATCTTCCAGATATCTGGGATAGATTTTGAATTATTCCTATTACACGTGTTGTCTTCAGTTGATTCAATAAACCTAAGTTTTAAGTAATAGAGCATCAAACTAAGTAGTGCCAAGGAAAATATAAGACAGGAAGTGAGGGATACAAGAGAAGATTTGAAACTTAATAATTATCCTGATAAATTAGTCAGAAAGTATGTAGGGAAATGCAAAAATAAAAATCAAATAAATAATGATAGTATTGACAGTGATGATAATGATAATAATAGTAGCAATATTAATGACGACATGCATGTCAAATATGCACAAGATAATGACGACACCAACAATAAAGAATCTAAATTATCAGTAGTAATTCCATACAAGTAAGGAACCTCAGAAACCTTACACAGAATTCTTAACAATGCTAGCAGGAATAAAAGTGGTTGGCATTCAAACCCACAAACTCAGTTAGAAACAAGCTCTGTCGGTTTAAGGATCTTGTAGAGCAAATTAAACAAAACAATTTAGCTTATCTAATAGCCTGCTGGAGTGATTGTCAGGTCAAATACATAGGTCGAAGTAGTGGAACGGCGTCAGTCAGTCAGACTAGCGGAGTACAAAATCCTGGCAGCGAAATCTAGATTAGTTGACCCGAATACGATAAGAAATCTGGTGAATAATTCAGCTATATTACTCATTACATGCAATTACACACAACCATACTAATAAGATGTATGGGATAAAATGACAGTTTTAAAATCTAATGTAATAAGGTGGATGGAGGGAGAGCTTGATAACGGAAGCTTTGTTTATCGAAGCAACTGAGAGAGAATACGTGTAATAGGAATGATTCAACACCTGTCCACCCAGATATCTGGAAAATTCTACTACCCCACCGACGACAAATAGGAGAGAACAAAGAAAACTATAAAACTCAAGTTTTGAAGTCGTGTGATTATAATTGGCGATATGATTATGAACAATAAATAAATTGTGTTCGAAACCTTGTCATCCAGTAAATTATACTGTTTCTGTGACTGTGTGATATATCTAATAAACAAACTATTATGGAATTACTTACTACCACAGTGCCCAAGTTTTACACATATATATTAACTTTCAGACTTCCGAAAAGTAGTAATGCCTATTATAATATGGCGAGTGCTACTGATAAGTTTTATCAGTAGTGTACAAAGAGACGTCCATCGACATAAAAACAATCAAATAACAGGGAGATATATTTTATTTCAGAGAATGTGAATGATACAGCATTGTGGAGATATATAGGAGAAGTGAAAGGAACACAAAGAAACACACACCATATGAAGTCCAGAAGTACCGTGCACAACGCGGAAGATCTGTGCAAATGGAAATTCGTTAAGTACGCTGGTAATTAAGCTGCCTTATTATCATTCTTTTTTACTTCACATTCCCCAGTGGAACATTGGGCTTCAAGCTAGTGGCTTGAAGTTTCTGTAGCAGTGTTTATTTTACAGGATGGGGTTGCTAGCCTCATGCCCAACCTTTCCTCTTTACCAGCATTATTTTTGGCTTAGCGAGGTTAAGGAGTGCGTCGGCCGGGGATCGAACTCCGGACCATGTGCACGGTCGGCGAGCGTCCTAACCACTATGCCACCAACGCACTGTGTTGGGTGTAGACTCGATGAACTGGAATTCAGTATTCGACCTCCCTCTCTCCACCTATCTACCTGTTATGTGGTTGTGTGTTAATGCATGCAGTGCAACGTAGTGCTGAGCTGTTTTCTAAATTACTTATCTTCTTACCTTAGCTAAATTCTTATGTTCTCACAGACAATCTGACGACCACTGACCTACTAGTTTCACCAATGTAGTTAGTTCACCGAAGTCATAGTCGTTTGCAAGGTATTTTGTAAATTATATTATTATGTCTAATTGGGTCAATTGGATCCTTTAATCTGCAGAGCTTGTCCCTGAGTGAGTTTGTAGGTTAAAATGCCACTCTAATTCTTGCTTTATTCACAACCCTACGTAGGATCTCAGATGTCCCCTCCTTATATGATAAAACTGTAGATGCCTTATATTCTCTCTTATTTATGTTATCATTACTAGTTTCACCATTATTTTTATTTTGCTTTTGACCTTTTTTGATCTTCCTAATGAATTTTATAGGATAGTTAGTCATTTAACACCAACCAGCTATTCTTCTATCTGTTTCATTTCATCATTTAGGTCTTTTTTAGTGCCACTTAGTGCTACTGCTCGGTTTGTTAGGTACTTAACTAAGCCTGCCTTAACAGTTAAAGGATGAGATGAATTAAAGTCTAAATATCTATTATGAGCAACAATAAATTTTGCTCAAAACGTGATCATCAGTAAATATTACTGTATAGCAGACTGTGAGACTTTATCAAAATAAATTTTACTCATGATGGAATTATACTCTACCACCACAGTGCACAAGTTTTATACTTATATCAGTATTCGTGTTTACTAGATGACAAAGTTTTGAACACAATTTATTGCTGTTCACAATCATATCAGTTATAACCACAATCAGTTTATATACACGTATATAACGTATAAACGTAAACGAACTAATTTCTTATCAAAAACTCGAACTTTTAACAAAACTGCCACTGAAGTGCAGCTATGCCTGATTTCTTCATTTTTTTAAATAATGATAATAATAATAAAAGTAACAATAAGCTTTATTGTGCACAATAAGTCTACACAATATGCGCAACTTTCAGCGTAATTTATTGCGTAATAAGTAAAACAGCCGTCTCCAGTACATTATGTGACTCAGTGGTGTTGGATCTGAAGAAGCTATTAAATTCACATTACATTTCCCTACATACTTTCTGACTAATTTATCAGGGTAATTATTAAGTAAGTTTCAAAGCTTCTCTTATATGCCTCACTTCCTGTCTTAGATTTTCCTTGGTACTACTTAGTTTTTGTGCTGTATCACTTAAAAGTTAAGTTTATCGAATCAACTGCAAATACATGTAATAGGAATGATTCATCACCTGTCCATCCAGATATCTGGAAAATTCTACTATCCCAACGATGACAAATAGGAGAGAACAAAGAAAACTATAAAATTCACGTTTCGAAGCCGTGTGATTGTAACTGATATGATCATGAACAGTAAGTGAATTGTGTTCGAAACTTTGTCATCCAGTAAACACTAATATTGTTTCTGTGACTGTGTGATACATCTAATAAACAAACTAATATGGAATTACTTACTACCACCGTAGTGCCCAAGTCTTACACACATATTAACTTTCAGACTTCCAAAATGCATTAATGTCTATAATAATGAGGCAAGTTCTACAGACAAGATTTATCAGTAGTATATAAAGAGACGTTCGTCGGTATGAAAACATCAAATAATAGGACGATAGATTTGATTTCAGAGAAGGCAAATACGGTACAGCGTTGTGGAGATGTATGGGAGGAGTGAAAGGAACACAAGGAAACACACACAATATGAAGTCCAGAAGTACCAGGTACAACCCGAAGATCTGTGAGAATGGTGATTTGAAGATAAAGTATACATAACTTGACTATATAGAAATTCCAAATAAACATTCCTTTACCTAGTCTTCGTCTTCTATCATTTGAAAAAGAAAACTACACACCCGCTTTTGACTTCATCATCTTCAATCTCCTCTCGATTCACAACTCTCCCACCCACCCCCACTGAATCTCTTTAGGTAGGTCTCTCTAGAAGTCACTATAAAAGATTATATGCTCGATCGCACAACCAAGCATAATAACTCGACGATGTTTTTTATTTAGCCCGGCCACCCAACGCCTTTCTACACGTCTTGGATTTCTGGGGGTAGCAACTGATTTTGAGATAAGTTATATGACGAAGTGATATCAGTTAGAAGAGACACTGAAAAGAACCAGAAATGGGAAGTGGAGCCTTCAGGTACAGAAGTAATCACATTAACATTGAACCACTTCATTAAAAGTGGCCAACAACCCATAAACTTTGAATTCCGATAAAGGAATTACAACTTTTGTTCTCTTATAGAATGACTGTCTACAGAAGTAAGGTAAGATTAGGCAAATACTTCACAATACAATATTTATCCAACAATGATCCAATATTAATTAGTTAAGAAAAGATACACCCGCATCGATAGGCGGTTAGGACTCTCGCCGATCATACGTATGGTCCGGGGTTTGATCCCCGGCAGACGCACACCTGATATCAAATGATCGGTCTGCGAAATTTCGGCTACCGATACCACATGCTGAAAATTCAATACTTGTACCAAAAATACGGTGTGGAATCAGGTTATGATCAAAAATAAAAATAAAAAACAAAAGTCAGTTCTATGCATGAACATACCTCTCCATTGGATGTCTTTGAATAATTTTCAAAATGAGCGAATATCTAGAGACAGAAAAAAAACGTTAGGGGAGATCAAACTCTGAAATTAAGGCATCAATCAATGAAAATTAATTTGAACTACACATACAGAGAGGTAAGTAGACAATATGAGGTGGGGTCGGTCAATTGAGACACTAACAAGTAATAATTGAAGACCATTGGTGATATTGTGCGTCGGTGGCACAGTGGTAGAATGCTCGCCAACAATGCCTCATGTGGTCCAGGGTTTAATTCCCGGCCAACGCACTTCCTTTACCTTGATAAGCCAGTAATAAGACTGGTAAAGAGGAAGTTTGGGATAGGCATGAGGCTAGCAACCCCATCCCGTAACAATAAACACTACTGCTACCGAAACTTCAAGCCTGTAGGTTGACGTCCAATGTTACACTAGGACCGTAAAGATATAAAAAAATGGGTGATACTGGCTTAAAAATTATTCTCAATGGTGCAGATGATTTTAAGCTTTACGATCTTCTAATTCTATTGTATCATTATTATTGTTTCCTTTCGTTCCTAGAGGAATATAGGGCTTCAGCCGCACGGCTCAATTGCGTTCTGTTCTCTGCCAACGTTTTCACCTGGCTCCACATCTGCCCACATGCTTTCATTTCCGCTCCGCATCACCTCCTCCATGCCACCCTCACACTGACAACCAACTCGCCGCTTCCCGTTCGGGTTCCACTTGAACGATGGCCTGGAGTGTGATGTGATGGTTTGTTTTCTCAGAGTATGGCCAGACAATCCACCTCCATTTTTTCCTGCATATTTGTTGCACAATCGGTTCCTGCTGGGTTGGTTAGTTCGCTCCCAGAGATTCACCTATGATCAAAGACAGCTAGCCTTTTCATGTCCTCCACTCTCAATGGCCAGGTCTCACAACCTGTTCAAAATGCTTATGGTGGCGCAACATGTTCAAGACGTATGCAGAAGCCCTGATTCATCCACTGCTCCCTCTAGTTATCTTAATAAATATTTGTGACAAGATAATCTGTTTTGAAATCTCATCACAAAACTATACGAATAACATTCACAGTGTATGTTGAATTAGTGGAACCCGGTGTGACATAATGAAATCATTGGATGAAATATGATTCATACGAGGTTCAAAAGCACTCCGCAGGACCTGAGAATTGCTTCCACTGCGACGACGCGATAGTAATGATCGAATATACAAAGTCGAGACACATCCTCAGCTTGTGAAGGTCAGGTTCATCATAACTGGTTTGTATACTATGGGATTTTGTTTGATTTGTTGGAAGATTTCATCAATAGCTGACTCTTCAGTGTTACGCACCCACCATTGGGGTTCAAACCCAGGACTTTCTGGTTACAAGGCGAGCTAGCTCGTAGAACACTAAAGCCACTGGGACCTAATTCATGACATAGCGCGACCACTTAGCAATATCTTCTTGGATAAGTACCTGTCCTCACCTTCGTCCCAAACTAGGACAACAGAAACAGTTGTCTGGCAGTGCTCCTTGCAGGGTTTTCCAATAATTCTCTAACCAATGTCAGTGGCTCATGACGAAATCCTCCAACCAATTAAATAATTCCTTAAGATCCAGTAGTCAAAATGAATTAACAAAGCTTACCTTTTTAGTCGCAGTAGAAATAGCTGAAGTCTGTAAATCTTCTAGGCTAACCCATCGTCCAAAATTCAGCAGAGGCGGCCAAATATCCTCCTCCATGATATCAGATAGAGGCTTTTCGTCAAGTTTTAAAGTGAATACAATGTATTTCATGTGTATATGAGAGAAAATATGTACGACCTATGAGAAAGTTATCAACATAAATAAATAAATAAATATTAAAGGAAGGTAATGAAAGTGAAAATCATTTGAGTTAGACCACTTAAGGTTACTTTTGAGGACAAGCAGATATAAGCAGAACTGAAGGATGAAATGAAAACCCAAGTGGTAGTAGTAGCCGAGCGTAAAAATAGGCTGCCTCTGAAGTCCTAGCGCAAAGCTTTTACACAACAGTGAGTTATGATACCCAGCTCTAATAACCAGATTTATCAGGTTGTTACAATGGAGTACGAATTCTCACTAGAACCCAAGGCAACTTTTGAAATAATAGAGAAGATTTGTAGCTCAGGTTAATGATTTGCAATTAGTTGTATTCTCTGAGGAGCTGGTTGTTTCAATTGCGAAGTTTTTGTCGTCCTTCTGGGAAGCACCCCCCTTTATGAATGATAGAATTGTGTCGCCTAGCAACCATCTACGTGACTGGTAGTCGATTTACATCTGTAATGATCATTTTTTATTGACTAGAAATTTGAACTTTCTCGTCACGTGATTTACTTTTTATTAGTTGGTAGATTTGGTATATAATGATATGTTTGTTGACTGTTATTTCAATTGAGTGCTAACTAGGCCTCTACGAATTCCCTAGCTGCGATTTTGGTGTTTCCTTTATTTAAAATTTCAACATTATCCCTATCTAGTTGGTATCCATAATTATCTACATACATTGATATGAAAGAATATATATCATGTTTTTTACAACTAATTTGTGTTCTTGGATTAGGATTCGAAGGGGGCGTCCACTTCAACAGATGTAATGTCTATTACAGTTCATACATGCAATTGATTTTGTAAGTGGTATTAATTGACATAGGTTAGAGAACCATCGAAAAGCCACAATGCATAACTGGGCAACCCTTCCCTGTTAATTTGCAACTCTCCAGCAGTACGTACCCACTGCTGGGGTTCGAACTCAGGACCTTCCGGTTACAAGGCGGGCAAGCTCGTAGACCATTAAGCCACTGGGACTTTTCAGCCTCACAGCACATAAACCACTGTTAATAGGGATCCAGTCGAGTAATGCAGCTTCGGCTGCAGCGCTTAGTGTGACACCGACACCAGCTACGCCAGATGCTGATGCCACAGGGTCCCCAGACAAGCGCAGATGGTACATACTATTCGAAATTTCAGATGGAGAGGATAATCAAAGCACTTCACACTGGGGTCTTGAACACTGGTCTCTGCAATGCAGCAGATATTGATAGCGAAGCTTTCCAATGTTCTTATCAAACCTGTCTGTTATCCCATTTGCATCAGTGTCCGAACATTGTAGGTGGCCAGCTTGAACGCGGCTTCAGGATATCTGTGTTAGGTGTCCCAGTGGGGACAACCATTTTGAAGGCACTCATCACTAACATCTCGAAATGGGAATTCAGACAAAGGCGAAAGGCTAACGAAAGTGAGGTTGAAAAGAGATGTGTCACTTGAAACATCAATATTGTTGTTTGAGAGCATTGCGTAGCATTACAAAAAACGTATGGTATCCTGTTGTGTTCAGAGCTGTGATTCATTGCTATAGGCGCTCACCACCCACCTCCTCCTCCCAACCAAAAGATGCATCTTCACTTCAAACCTTACTCCACCTACCGAAGGTGGGGACAACACCAAGTAAGCAGTACCATTGACTCTTACACAATAGCTGTTAGTCATTCCTAACAAGGAAAGAAAGAGAGGATAGATGTCGGGTGCCACATTTTGCTAACTGTTCACTATGTATCATTAGACTCGTATTCGCAACAGGACGAAAAAGATGAAAAGACAACAATATCAAGGATGAAGAATTACCTCTCCAATCGATTTTACATTTAAATCATTGTATGGCAGCCTATTAGATGAATCAGATTCCAATGCCTTTTTAATTTGTTCAACAGCTAATGGTATAAATGATTGAATGTCATCCATTGAACATTGATCTCTCGCTTTTACAGCGTCATTATTCTCACTTTTCAATGTTTCAATGGTATAACTTGGAAATTCCCATAAACCAGCTAATAGGCCTAAATAAATAAAGAAAGAATAAATCAATAAAATATAATCAATATCAGGAATGATAATACAGTGGGGTGGGGGTAGATTGAAATATAGTTGAATTAAAGGATATGGGTAATGAGCAGCAGAGCTTTCAGTGTTGGCGGTTATTATCACCAGGCTGCTCACACTATGAAGGTTAAACTTAATAATTATCCTGGGAAATTAGTCAGAAAGTATGTAGGGAAATGTAAAAGTAAAATAAATAATGATAGTAGCGATAGTGATAATAATAATAATATAATATTAATGACGAAATGCATGTCAAACATGCACAAGATAATGACAACACCAACAATAGGTAATCTAAATCATCAGTAGTAATTCCATAGAAGGAAGGAACCTCGGAAACCTTACGCAGAATTCTTAACAATGCTGGCAGGAATAAAAGTGGCTGGCATTCAAACCACCCACAAACTCAATTAGAAACAAGCTTTGTCGGTTAAAGGATCAATCCTGTGGAGCCGTTAAAACAAAACAATTTAGTTTATTTAATACCCTGCCTGCAATGATTGTCAGGTCAAATACATAGGTCAAAGTCGTAGAACAGGGGCAGTCATTCAGACTAGCGGAGCAGTTTTAAAATCTAATGTAACAGGTTGGAGGGAGAGATTGATAACAGAAGCTTTGATATAAGAATAAAACTTGTGCACTGTGGTAGAGTGTAATTCTATTATGGGTAAATTTTGTTTTGATAAAGTCTCACAGTTTTGTTTATCGAATCAACCGAGAGAGAATACGTGTAATAGGAATGATTCAACACCTGTCCGGCCAGACATCTCGAAAATTCTACTACCCGTACGACAAATAGGAAAGAATTAAGAAAATCATCAAACTCAACTTTCGAATTCGTGTGATTATAATTACTGACATGATTATTGAGAATAAATTGTGTTCGAAACTTTGTCATCCAGTATATGATACTGTTTCAGTATGTGATACATCTAATAAACAAACTATTATGGAATTACTTACTACCACGGTGCCCACGTTTTACACATATATTAATTAGGATAATTTCTTCTTGACCACAGAGTTTAATCACATACATCTTGTTTGTAGTGGTTTTTACAGGTTCACCCATCCGTAGATCCCACCACCGGCTACGGACCGACGCAGTGTAATGCCACATATACAATTCTCGGC